CAGAGCAGCTAGGGTCTGGAACCAACTTCCAAGAGAAGTGGTGCAGGCTCCTACCCTGGGGGTTTTTAAGAGGAGGTCAGATGAACACCTTGCTGGGGTCGTTTGACCCCAGTACTCTTTCCTGCCACGGCAGGGGGTCGGACTAGATGATCTGCTCAGGTCCCTTCCGACCCTAGAAACTATGAAACTAAGACATACTGCATCTCACCACCTCTGCATGCTTGAATATTCACTCTTCCCACACAGATAAAGGCAATAACAAGGGCAAATCAGAAGATTTGAACCATTTTCTTTACACCAGGGTTGACAATATACGGCTTGTGGGCTGTATCCAGCTGGCAGAACCATTTTATCTGGCCTGAGGAGGCAGGAGGCTTCTGAACCATTTTGGTGATAGAGGGCTTCACCTAGGTAGTGGGGAACAGTGGTAGCAGCACAGTTGGAGCGACACACGGAGAGAGAACTGGAGCTGAAGCTGCAGCTGATTCCGAACCAAGATCCATTAAAGCAGGTCCCCCAGCTCCAAAACCTTGTTGAACGGTGCTCTTAGCAACATATGGCTGCGGGTAACCAGCTTTGCTCGCTACTTCATTTGGCCCACAAAGCCTAGTTACCAACAGCATTTCAACAACAGAGGAATTCTATGGCAGTCAGGTCACAGGTAAGTGCCAGTCCGTCTCAGATCAAGCTGCCTTATTTCAGCCCAACAGTCCTAAAATTTGCTGACCTCTGCTCTAAACCAATGTCTTCAAATAGATTTTTGTATTCTCTTTGAAGGCCTGTTGCTGTTAGCAGCTCTGAGTAGCTAGTTGACTTTGTTAGTGACCAAACTGTAGTTACACTTTTGCTACATAAGCTACAAAGTCTCATTTTGCAGTAGCATCACTCAGCAAGGCCAAGAGGAAGGAAATAAGAGGGTGGCAGCTTTCAGCAAATATCCCATGGATTACTGAAGCAGAGTACAGCAGCAACACAAAGAAAAAGTTGAAGCTTACAATGACAGCAAGCGACACAGCCTTTGGCCCAGTTTACCAGCCCAAACAGTAGTAAAGGACAGAGGGTATCTCAGAATAATGATTAATTCCCTTCTTGTTTTCTGGCAAAACTATGTTGCCTTGAACTTCTGTCTAGCAGGTCATTAAACCACAAAGAAAACCTGTGCCCATTTTTAACAGCTATGCAAATTTCCCACAAGTACCTAATTCTACATAGGGCTTAATGATCTAAAAGTGGAAGAAACTAACCAAACTGAAACTGGCCACTTTTTTGTGCCTTCTTCAGCTTGGATAATTAAAATGATCTAAAAGGACTACGCAAAAACACATGATCAAATGTAAATGAGATAATTTTTCCAGGTACATTAAGGACATTTATTGTTGAAATATGAACCCCTTAAGAAAAAAGAGTGAATAGTTTACCCTATCAGCAACTTTTTGTGAGCACAAGGGGAATTGGAAGTTCTAGTTCTCACAGAAAAATTAAGTTGTTTATGTGCGAAGCATACCTTCACATATTTCATAGTAGTTTTAGCAATTTAACTACAAAGTTACCTCTATTCTACCCTAAAAAGCTATGCACAAGGGCCAAAAAAGAATCAAAGCAAAGCTTCCAGTTTTATTAAATCCACATTAAA